CCCCAAAACCCCAAAACCCCAAAACCCCAAAACCCCTGCAAAGATAATCGATCTCAATAAGATTATTGAGTGAGTCTTATAATTTATCAAGTGAATTAATTATTAATTTATAATTTCCGCCATCATTGACTAACTAAAAATGTAAGTTCATTGTACAATTATAGGCCATCATTTATCTTAATACTCTTGTATATAGGAATCAGCAATAACAGCCTGCAGCTCAAGGGACTAGATTCCCAATCAAGAAAGATGATATTCCTAAAATTAAGGCTTTAATACAATCAATTGAGGATGATCCAAACGCAGAGCCATTCTTAGAACCAGTACAATGGCAAGGTAAGATTTCTAGTTACATGGGAACTAAATTGATTTAAAAGTATAGAACTTGGATTAGATGATTATCCATAGATTATCAAAAAGCCCATGGATTTTTCAACAGTTAAGGTAAGTAATTTACATTTGAGATTAAGCAAATATCTGATATTCTATATAGAAAGGCTTGGCAAAAGGGAAGTACAATACTTATGATGAGCTTTTCGCAGAGATATAGTTGATATGGGACAACTGCAAGACTTACAATGTTGCAGGTTCAGACATATACAAGCTTGCTGAGTACATGGAGAAGGTTTCAAAGCGCTAGATTTCTAAGTTCAGATCTCAGATGGGCATTCAATCAGTGAGCTTTGCAGTTCCTAATAGTAATTTACATTATTTGTAGACATTTATTGATATTTCTTTAGAGAAAGCTGGCGTTGGAAAAGATAAAAAGAAATCGGGTGGCAACTAGGATGATAAGTCAGATGGTGAGGATGAGGAAGAGTCTAATATGTAAGTTTAACATCAACCATCTTAACTATTTCCTTTAGAGTAACAGTTGAGATGAAAATAGATTTTGTCGAAAGAGTAAAGCAACTAAGCAATGAGGGTCTGACTCAGATGGTTCAGTAAATCTAACAAATAATACCCTCCGCAGTCAGTGATATTGAAAATGAGAAGCTGCAAATAAAGGTCGATGAGTTTGACAAGGAGGCCTTCAACAAGATAAGCGATTTTATTGATGAGCTACTTCTTAACGAGCAGCCTTCCAAGAGACAAAAAACAGAGTGAAGGTGAATTAATGAATGAATTGATAGATATTAATATTTATGCAGGATGAATAATTAATCGAAAGCTTCAAAATAAAATCTTCTATCGTCAATGCCTCACCTTTATTGTTTCAATTAACATTATTAAAATCATATTTCTATTGTTCTAGGAACTATACAACTTGAGCTAGCTACTCGACTCTGTCCTCATTAAGCTCAAAGTGCTTTTTATTTCTGGCTGATACTTGATTGTGGCCTGGCAAAACAAATCCACTGTCTTTTAAGCTTAAGCTCATTCCCTTTTTTGCAATATAATCCCCGAACTGTTGCTGGCTATAATGTTAGAGTCCAAGTAATGCTTTTAGCTTGCCCTTTTCAATAGTGGCATAGGCCTTCCTAATCATGATAATTAGATGTTCTCTGAGTAGAGTTGAAAGGATCTCAAGAAGCTTCAGCATACTTCCATTTTACTCAGAATCCTGCTAAAGTGAATTTACTAATAAATCTATCAACTTAAATGCATTCTGATATTGCTGCTTGGTAAGAGATCTCCCAATTTCCCATAATTCGATCAATTAGGTGTTAGTGAGAGCTTCCTTTTCTTTTAAATTTGAGGGGATTCTCTTCCAGAGATATCTTGCATTATTAGTGTCGAAGACTAAGAAGTGGCTTATCATAAATTAAGAGTAGTCAGAGAGAGATAGCTGTCCAGGACTGCTGATTTCATAATCATTGTATAAATTTACTAGATTCTGAGAAACCTCAATATGTTGATGATGATCATCAGGTGAGTTCTTGACCAGAGTGTAAAGATTGTGAATAGTATCTTGGATTTGGTTAGATGATTAAATCTCCATTTTAAAAGTTATACTTCCCTTTTTAATTATTAAATTTATTGCTAATTTTACCTAACTCTTTAATGAAAGCCTTATAATTTTATTCTACTGTTAATTATTTATGATGGAAGAGGAACTGAAATAAAAAAGTCTTGAACAAGCTGAGTTAAATCTTGACATTTCGTTAAACTAACATAATTCAGTCGAATTCAACTCTAATGAAAACTTCAAATTCATCAACACTATTTAGTCACTAGATTAGTCTTATGACCACTCAATAAGGGATTCATTTCAAAAGCCTCCAACTCTCAATATCTAGGCTCAGGCACAATCACTAAAATCCTCCCCTAGACAATCAATAGAAAAAGATAACTTAAATCTATCAAAATACTGATCTAGTCATAAAAGAAAACTGCCAAATATCGGCAACTATCAGCTAAAACAATACTATGAGTCTAAATATATGAAGGATAATGAAGAGATTAGTCCTCTGAGTCGTAGAAAGCCCTTTAGTTAGTGGCTACAACAATCTCAAAAAGAAAATTAAATGAAACTTATGCAGGGATACAAGAGCTACTATCAGAATTATCCCAAGGCATATTCAAGGCTAAGTTCCCCAGGATTTAGTAGAAGTGGTTAAACACCTACAGAAGTCTAGAATATAGATGTATTCTAAAGATATCAAATGCTGACAACTTAGAAAAGAGCCTAGTCCTTAGCTGCATCGAGTGAGACTCCAAACTTCAAACACGGAGAAAGCGTTAACAAAAGTTTCGGAGGTGGTAATAACAACTCAATCACTCTTGGAGGTTATCAAGGTGGGTCTCAGTTTGGAGCCTCAGTCAAGTATACTGAGTCGATAGACGGCTCTATTAATCCCTATACAATTAAAAGAGCTGGTCCGAATGCTCATTAATTTAAATTCCATTTTGAGAAGTCTAATTTTTAGAGAAAATCTGACTATCTAATGGAGAAGATCGAATCTGCTTTGGAATAGGACTAATAAAAGAGAAATTTTTCGACTATGAATAGCCATCCAATCAATAGTAGTATAGAATTTAAAAGAATGAAAGAAGAAAAATAGCAGGAGCTTCTTAAGAAATTCAGATTAAGATAGTAGCATCAGAAGAGTCCTTAGCCTGATGAAATCAAGGTATAGATTGGCTTAATCAAGATGAAAGAAGTAGATGTAGAAAGTGAAGTGAAGTAAGAATTGATTAAGACTATCTAAGCTAAGCAGAAGCTCATGGTAAATAACACAATCAGCTTTAGATATGATGATCTGCCAGGCATTGGGATCTCAAAGGACTAACTTATGATGCTAAAAAGGAAAACCTAGGATAGGGAACTGAAGGATATTAGCAAGGTGGTGTATGAGGACTCACTAAGACAGAGTATTCGTATGTATCAGCAACCTAACTAGTATAAATAAAGAAGAATTGATAGAGTTTGAATATATCATCAGTATAAGATTATAAGGCTTAGAATAATAAATAGTCTTACTCATCAATTATGATTTATCTCGAAGCTAAATTTATAAATCAAGGATATTTATAACCTAAAAACTTTTTAAACAGTAAAAATATCATGGGGTTTTGGGGTTTTGGGGTTTTGGGGTTTTGGGG